CAGGGACTCTCTGTTGTGTTCCCTGTCAGGGCAGTCATTGGTGGTAGCTGGGCACCATCTAGTTCTTCTGGTCTCAGGCTGATGAAGTCTCTGGTTTTCTATCATAGTCCTTTTAATCCTTCACTGTCTTTAAAACTTACTTTCTCATTAGACTGTAAGTTCCTTGAGAGCAGGGACCATTGCTTATTCATATTTATCTCCAATAACTAGTATATTTACCGGCACAAATGTAGTCTGAATAAACAAAGAACAAATGATCTGGACCTAAACAGTGTTTTAAAAATGGCTGCTTTTTAATAAGAGCTGAGATGACATTCTCCAAGCTAACAACCCACTTGGCAGTCTGGAATAGATACTCCTTACTAAGATTTGTGTCCCAGAGATCAGCTGAGTTAACAGAGACCTAAACTACAACTGGAGATCTGCAGAACACAGTACACAGCGCTGAGGCAGGCTATTCCAAGCTGTGGCTGATTTATGCTTAGTGTAAGGGAAATAACAACTCAAGTCAGAACAGCCCAAGGCAAACGACAGTCTAAGTGGGAAAGTGGGTTTCTGAGGCAAAAGTGCCAACCAGAATTACTTACAAAAGCAAGGAGACTATAGTGCAGAAATCAGAGACATGTGTTATGGCAGACAAAGACAAACAGCAGCGTGGTCAGGACACCATGGTTAAAAACCCAGAGAGCTGAAGGGAAAGCCTTCTTTTAGAGAATCAACTCTGGTACACCTGTAGTCAGTAAGTTAACAAATGCTTGTTGAATACCTACTCTGGCTAGACTCCTTAATGTATATAAAATCAAGCTTTATCAAGTATACCTGTAATTGTGAGACAAGCGCAGGAACAACTGCAGTAACAAAATGTTAGGTGTAACTACCAAAAAAAAAAAAACCCCAAACTCGTAGCCGCTGAGTTGATTCTGACTCATAGTGATCCTATAGGACAGAGTAGAACTGTCCCATAGTTTCCAAGGCTGTAAATCTCTACAGAAGCAGACTGCCACACCTTTCTCCCGCGGAGGAGCTGGTAGGTTCAAACCACCAACGTTTCCGTTAGCGGCCGAGTGCTTTAACTGCTGCGCCACCGGTCTCCTTGATATACTTAGTTATTAAATTTCATTTACAATCATAGACATTCAATAAATAGCTGTCCTCTCTAGTCTTCTTCCATCTTTTTGTTTCTATTTTCTTTACATTTGAATCCCTTTACAAACCTCACCCACAACTCCGCTCTTCACACCCTGACATCTAGACCTAGGAAAGACTTCAGAGATATCTAATTTCACTATAAACTGAAAAATCGAAGTTCAAAACAGTAACTTGCCCAGGATCCTACAGTTTTTTCCTTTAACCTCTTTCAGTCTTTTCTGTTACAGGATCATTCAGGAAAGAAAAAAAAAAAAAAGACGATAGAAAAGGTTTCCAGCAATGTTATCTATAAAATCCATGTGTGCAATAAATCACTTTTATTGCATTGTTTGAAGATATTCCCTAGTCTGTTTTCAGAGCAAGGAATCAAACTAAACAAGATTAATTTCCTTTTTCCCCCAGTTCATTACAGTGTTATTTTATTATAAACCTTGTTATTTAAATCTGACAATAAATATTTAATAAAGATTTCAATATTACTACTAAAAATGTACATAAAGTTTTAAAAAGCTGCACATATTTATAGTGTAAGCCCATTATCACATGACTTGACATACAATTTGGATTATACTTTGGGATACATCATATTCTAATAAGCATGCGGTCATTTCTTTCCTACTTCAACAAGTTTTATAATGTAAATATTTTGTCCCTATATGTCTCTGTGTTCTTTAAGGTGATATTTTTTAACCAAAGTTTAAAATTTTCTTTTTAAATTTTATGTCCAACATTGCTCACATGATATCTTGAAATTTATTCCATCACCAGGAAGGTCTATAGTCTCCTTTGCATGAAAGCACTTCTAAGAATGAGCAAGTTTTCAGACTTCAAAATTCCTGTTTGCTCAAAATCTTCTTTAAAATTCCATGGTAAAATAATTATTTATAAGCTTTCTAGTAAGTTTTTTTCACCCTTTGAGAAAAACTGCTTTTAACAATTTAACAATTAAGACAATTCTGAGTATAAAAAGCGTTTCGTTTTTACATACTAAGGATATTAGAACTTATTTTAGAAATCTGAGGAAAAACGAAAAACTCCATTTAGATAAGCTAAAGAAAGTATTTCAAAAAAATTGAAGGAAAAGTACTTCAATACCTAAAATATCATATTCAATAGGAATCTTAAAGAAGGAGAATGGAAGTTTTTTGCATCCTTTTATAAAACTGTGGTCCTTCACAGGCCTCTGTGCTATGACTATCTGGGACCTGGGGGGACTTCTATGGTCTGGTAGGCTCATCAAGAAATCCAATAGAAGAGTGGGGCTCTGTGGTAGAACAGGGTAATACGTCGGCACACGAAGCCTCCAGTTTCAGTTCCTAATTGCCACTGTGCCTACCTGAGAGTTATTTTAATATGCAAACAGAACTGGACGTCCTACTCATTCCGAATCACTGGATATTACATCGCAGTCTATTATCATAAAAGTTCTAGAGTTGGAGGCCAGGATAACCACTAAGGGCTCTAGGTCTGGATCCAGAGAGCAATAAACTTTCAATTACAAGACTTGGGTTTCCTGTTTGATGCATTCCTAATCCAGTTAGGGTCATAGCGACATATGTTAGGATCATGGACAACTGGCCCTTTCATCCCAAGGGTTGGATTTATTTAGGTGGGAGGGATTGCTCTCCAGTGACACTGCCTGAAAAGCCCTGAGCTCCACCTCCATGAAAGGAGTTGAATATTTAAGGAAGGTTTATGAAAAATTATTTAAGTACAAAAAATCAAGGCAATTGATAACTTCAGGAAGAATTATATATTTTTAAAAGAAAATGTAATTATAGCACACTCCCTGGCTCAGTAGTGAACACTATATATAGTTCTAATAATGTAAACAGTGACTACTGATGTATTAAACTTGTGATAAATGTATTAGGAGGACATGGTAAGAAGAATAAGGTTGAGGGCACAAAAA